ACACACACACACACACACACACGTTGGAATGGGTGGGACAGAAGCGGAAGGAGGTTCTTAAAGACACAGAGGCCAATTTCCAGATGTTTAGAAACAGATATGATGAGAAGTCAAGTTTATTTTCTATATAAATATATAAACAGCGTATTAAAAACAACCAATGGTGACATAGTTACTTTATTATGGTATAGAATTTAAAAATATGCCAGAGAAACACGTAATATTGCCCCTTTAACATATGTAGYTACTTGATTGTGTTACAGAATTTAAATATGTGCCGGTAACGCTTTATTTGACCTTATTACCATGTAATTACAAGGTAATAGAAGAAATGTAATTAAATGTAATTAATACCTTATTACCATGCAATTACGTGGTGATTACGGTACAAAAGAAAAACTACTACCTTTATTGGGTAACTACAATCAAATTACCATTCAATAGTAACTCAACACTATATTTATAACAAAACGAATGCAACTAAATTTTGGGGTTAGTTGTTAATTGCAATAAAATATAACTTTAAAACTGTCCAAATGATCTACTTCTTATTCAGGTGTTACTTAGTGAATTGTTAATACATCACCAGGTAAGTGCTACATTACTGCAGACAGTTAATTACATTGTAAAATTGTACCATAATTTACATGTAATTACATGGTAATAAGGTAGTAATTACATTTAATTATAATTTTATTACCTTTTAATTACATGGTAATAAGGTATTAATTACATTTAATTACCTTTTTATGACCATGTAATTACATGGTAATACATTTAATTACATTTTTATGACCTTGTAATTACATGGTAATACATTTAATTACCTTTTTATGACCTTGTAATTACATGGTAATAAGGGTACCGTAAAAGAAAGCGTTACCTATGTGCCTGGAAAATGCATAATAACCCCCCCACTTGAAGCAGCTGTGTGTGTTGGTATTGACAGCGCYCGCAGGCCTTTTAACCTTTCCAGTGATACATGAGACATGAACAGTTTCTGTGCTCAGATAAACCAAACGTTACACTCATGACTGTGCAGCGAGCCATCGCTCAGCGCAAACGTCTCACTCTATTTTTTTAATTCTCTTCTATTCTCCGCTCCTTTCTGCTAGCTCCATGAATGCCGCACATTCCTGCGTGTTTGCTCATGCCGARGCCTCCCTGCGGATCCCGGGCCTGACTTTCCCAAAGCCGATATTAATATCACAGGCCATTGTAATGGAGTTATTTTCATGGAAGCCCCGGAGGAAGTCATGTGGCTATGATTAGTCCCCCGAGGGCCCCGAGTCTCCATTAAGCTCGTTGTTTTAACTCGCATAACCATCAATGAAGTGGAAAAGCTGAGGAAGTAGCGATCACTCAAGGTTGGCTGGGGTGTTTTCTGAGCACCTATTTTGTAAATGGGGCCAGAACATTTTCCTTTTCTCTCTTTTTTTTTCTTTGAGGGGAATTATTCTTTAGCTGTGGCCTGCAGAAAGAGCATCCACATGTGTTTACATTCACCCACCACCATTAAGATTGATAGCAGTGGGATTTGGTGGTTAACACGCTGTTTAAACCTGAAGGGGGGAGAGAAATGGGGGAAAAACAACAYGAGGAAAAACACAAGGACTCACACACTCTGCAACTACACGCAAGGGTGAGCTCCAACGCATCTGCCATAAGGAAGACAACTTGAGTCAAGATGGAAAAAAAAATAAGTCACCCTGGAATACATTCACTCTGTCAGGTTACTGCTGAAACACACACGAGTGAGAAAAGCAGAAACTGCCACATGCACGCTTCCTCTCATAACTCTGCTCACCTTTCTTCTTGACCTGAAAGCCACCGGGCCACTTTACCGCTGGGCCACTTCCAAGGCAACAGGAAGAGCCGGGCCAGCGACGGCTGCTGACAGCTTTCAGACGGAGAAACCCAACGTGTTCMGAGGCTCGCTGTGAGGAAGTGAGGCCTGCTCCCAATCGCCACAATTATCCGCACATGATTGT